GCCTCGACGGGGAGGGATTGCATTGAATTAAAGCAGCGGGATCAAACGCTTGCCTCGGGGAGGGAGAAAAAAAGCCACAGCGGAGAATAAACAGAAGGGTAACCATGGTAACTATGGCCGGGAAGTCTTCTTCGCTGCTTTTGTGGCAGACTACAGCGCCACTTACAGGCCTGGCATATGTACTACAGCGTCTCCAGCGCTTTCGAGCGGCAATGGCCGGCTGTGGCCCAACCCCACATTCCCCTGATAGGTGGAGAGTTGGCCCAATAGCCGTAGCGCCACTTCTGTGACGTCAGGACAGTGTTCAAATCGGGATCCGTTGCAGCTCCTTTTTTAGAGATTTGGGTATGGAGGAAAAGAGAGAGGGTTGTGTTTTCTGACACTTGGTGAGTTCCCTGGAACACCGGGGACACATATTCATGTATAAAAGACGTACAAAAGTGCATTTTGCATGATAGGTCCCCTTTAAAGTGTTTCTCAACCTTAAAATAATTGCGGAATAGAGATTATTTGGGAAATTCAAAATAATAATTTATTATCAAAAATGTTAAAAGGGTCTGGAAAAGAATCGGGAAAGAAATCATGTTTTATTCAAACATTTGATTGTAATAATTCAGTTTTAATTACAGTATATAAACCCTGCAGTGCATCATCAGAGAACAACAAAACACACTTCCAGACAGAAGCAGTTCAAACATCACAGTAACAGCAGGTTATCATTCAGTGTAGCTGTTACACTTTAGATTAGCCTCCTAAAACATGGAATAACACACAACATGCCGTTGGAACTTGTTCTGCAAATGAACAAGAAGTCATCTTTGCCACACCTGTGTTTCATTTCTGGGTAATACGTGCTACAGAAAGTGATGTGTTGCAATATCCTGGATCTGCTTTTCAAAAGAATCAGAATCAGAAACAGGTGTATTACCAGGTAGGTTAACACATACGAGGAATTTGACAAGTGAAAAAATCACTTCTGCAGAAAAAGCTAGTTCATCTTACCTCAGAAAGGCTGAAAGGTAAAGCGGTGAAAATATCTTAAAATGTTGTACACGTTCTAAGGCTTCTAAAATATGGCCACAGTAGTAAAATGTATAGCTTTCTGCATCTATTGTAAATAAAACACTGATTATGGAGAAGAACCTCAGACAAACCTAAAAACATCCAAATAGACCTTTCACTTCAGCTTCACTGCAGGTTGGTACAGGGTGAATGGGCTCCTACATCCTGTACAATCATGCTGAGACAGATTTCCAGGTGATATTTAGATGAAAATCAGAGAGAGAATTGCATGGGTGAAAAAAAAAGATTAAAACAAATACAGACATTATGTAGTCTATGTTTATATAACAGGCCCAAAAGGACACTTTTACAGAGGGGGTGATCAAGGTGAGTACGTAAACAACATACAAAAGCCTCCATGTAATTTTTCAGGTTTAAAATATATTTTATAATATTTAAAAAGTGAAATGTTAGGACAGCAGAGGGCGCCACATTGTTGAGAATTGAACAAGCATGCAGTGGTTCCCAACCTGGGGAGCTCGGGGAGTGCGCCAGACCTCAGATGATTTGAGGCCTAATATCATATTTCATTTTTTATTTTTTTTACATATAATTGTAACGCAATACATGATTGTCGCTAAAAGCCTTGTTCAATTTGAATAAAGATTCAAGTTAGTAGCTAATAAAGGCATAAAAAGACAGAAATGTATAATTCTTTCTTTAATAGAAATGTTTCTTCTGCCCGTAAAGTGTCCAAACCAGGCTTGTCTGGAGAAGCGCATTTTTAAAACATAGTCATTGTCCATGCCGGTTTCAGATTATTTGTCACAGTTGCTACGATCAGATCGGTCTGCTCCATTTTGTAGATTATTTACGATTTTTGAATCCACATAAACACATCGGCAAAATCCGGCTCACTTTGAGCATGTGTTTTAAACAGTTTAATCCCTTTGTGAATTGTTTGCACTTGCGCCGTCCTTTAATTTCTTCATACAGCGGGAATCCAAATTAATTAACCCTGAGTCCAATAACCATCAAAGTCACTCCAATAGTGCTCCTTAATTACGCTTTCATCCTCCTTTAACGAAATACTTTACATTCATCCAGTTTGTGACAGTAGTTGTAGCATTTTTGAGACTTTTACATTTTAATTACCGCTGTTGCCTTGTCTTTTCAAAAGCAGATCCAGGATATTGCAACACATCACTTTCTGTAGCTGATATTACCCAGAAATCAAACAGGTGTGGCAAAGATGACTTCTTGTTAATTTGCAGAACAAGTTCCAACAGCATTTCATGTCTTAAGGGGCTAATCCAAAGTGTATCAGCTACCCTGAATGATACCCTGCTGTTACTGTGATGTTTGAACTGCTTCTGTCTGGAAGTGTGTTTTGTTGTTCTCTGATGATGCACTGCAGGGTTTCTATACTGTAATTAAAACTGCATTATTACAATCAAATGTTTGAATAAAACATGATTTTTTTCCCGATTATTTTCCAGATTTTTTTACATTTTTGATAATAAATTATTTTGAATTTCCCAAATAATCTCTATTCCACAATTATTTTAAGGTTGAGAAACACTTTAACTTATCTTTATTTAAAATAAGTCTAACAAACAGACTGATAGGAATCTTTAGGTGCACTATAATGTCACTAATAGTAATAGGTAATTTAATTCAGAGCTTTTATACTTTGTAATTATTATTATTTGTGAGCATTTGATTTATTTTCACTTTATTCACTGTAGAAGCAACTATTAAATAATAAACAAGAATCCAGATAAAAACCGGTTTCTTGTTTCCCTGATCTAAATATTTCTTTCATCCCGTAAAAGGTTGGTCTCTGGCTTATTCCTGTCCCAGCTGGACTACGGTGATACCATTTATAGATTTGCCTGTCCCACTGTTTTGGCCAAACTTGACCCACTCTACCATGCTGCACTGCGTTACATATCAAATGCACCCTATAGGACTCATCATTGCACACTGTATAGCCTAACTGGATGGTCCTCACTTACTATGCGTAGGATGCAACATTGTTTTTTATTAATGTATAAAGCCATTTTAGGTAAGCTTCCACTGTACATATGTGTCAGATTTGCTCCAGTTAGTGACTCTTACAACCTCAGACCCAGTGCCTGGATACGGTTCCAGGTTCCTGCCGTGCGGACTGAGGCTGGAAAAAGGAGTCTTTTTGATTATGGTCCTTGGTCTTGGAATGACCTTCAATCACGCCTCAAACTGAGGGCACTTGTCTCAATAGCATGTTTTAAATTGAAGTTGTCTGAAGTCCTCACCACCAGCTGCTCTTGCAGTAATAAGTAGTACCTTTCTTACTGTCCTAATGTGCACAATGTAGTGACTGCTTTTCGTCTTTTGTTTTCTTAGTTGTGTTCTCTGTATTTTATATGTTTGTGTTATGTGTAATGTGTAATGTGTTATGTGTAATGTTGCTGCCTTCTTGGCCAGATCAGCATTGAAAATGAGATTGTATCTTTTATCAGTGTGCGTGCGTGCGTGCGTTTGTGGGTAGGTCCACAGGAAGACTTCTAGGGAACTTTATCTTAAAAACAAATCTGTGAGCAGTGCATGCTGGGAGATTTGCGCCCTCCTCATTACCAAGTTACTGGGAATTTAACCAATGCAATGTATAAATGCGGCGTAGTGGATTGGTATGATGCCAAACCAAGTTGTGTTGTGTTTATAATGCAAAGACAATAAAACACCTTAAACCGGTTCCTTGTTTCCCTGAACTAAATATTTATTTCACCATAGTAAGTGGAATGACGTACAGAGTAACCGTTGATGAACACCTTCTCTGGAAATGAACAGTTAAAGTCTGTTGATTTTGGAGATGTTCGTAGTGGCTGGTAGCCATTTGGCATCATTACTGCAGTTTGTGTGTGTGTGTGTGTGTGTGTGTGTGTGTGTGTGTGTGTGTGTGTGTGTGTGTGTGTGTGTGTGTGTGTGTGTGTGTGTGTGTGTGTGTGTGTGTGTGTGTGTGTGTGTGTACCACAATATTTTAACTGATTTAAATGTGGAAACTGGGGTTATTCATCAGAGTTTCGTATGACTTGCTTGACCTGAGCAATGACTTGACTTGCTTGACTCTCACCACAGTGACTTGGGACTTGCTTGAGACTTGTAGGTTAAGACTTGAGACTTGCTCATGACCTGCACATGTAGGACATACTCCCACCTCTTACACTCTTATTCACACAACATTACGTTATCATTTTGGTAATTTCATTACATCTAAAAGGCTCACAAAACATGCAGAAGTCTGGAAACAGAATATTATTAGGCTGCTTTTGTATTGGTCATATTAGTAAGTAATGCGTCATCAGAAGAAAGCCTATAAAGAAATGGAGCGCCCATTGCAACATGATTATAACCTGACCTTTATATGATCTCTCATAAAAACACCATTAAGGGATGTCTTTACACAAAAACATGTATGGATCTTTATAAAATAAATAAAGTATTAAGGTCAGATTCAGTGCTTTTGTCCTCCAATAGGAATCAATGTAATATCATTTCTGGTCAAATTAGAGAGAGAGCAAAGAAATTATTGCTATGAAGACAAATGACACACACACACACACACACACACACACACACACACACACACACACACACACACACACACACACACACACACACACACACACACACACACACACACACACACACACACACTGTAGGAGATTTAGATCACATGACGGCCCTGATGCTGCTCTGACCGAACTGAAGGGCCAAGTAAATGTATCTGACCAAGCTAAATGAGCGTGTGTGTGTGTGTGTGTGTGTGTGTGTGTGTGTGTGTGTGTGTGTGTGTGTGTGTGTGTGTGTGTGTGTGTGTGTGTGTGTGTGTGTGTGTGTGTGTGTGTGTGTGTGTGTGTGTGTGTGTGTGTGTGTCTGTCTGTGTGTGTGTGTGTGTGTGTGTGTTCAGCCTCTGCAGGTGAACACACTGAGTAACACATGTTTCTATCTTCCAGCTGACAGCAAAGTGATCTCCACAGAAGGGACAGATGTTATTTTACCCTGCTCCCCCAGCACCAGAGAAAACCTCCTAAAGAAACTGTTTGACTGGAAGAAGGTCGGTCAGGGAGGAGAAACTCAGCACGAAGTCTTCATGTACGATTCTGCTGTTCATTATGATCGTCATTCAGGTCAGAGTGAGCAGTTTAAAGGACGAGTCTCACATTTTCAAAATGAACTGAAGCACGGAAACGCCTCCATCTTCATCAGGAAGACGAAGGTGATCGACAGTGGAAGTTACACCTGCTATTTTCCAAAGCTACAGCCTCGTGAAGAATTCTGCATTGAGCTCGTTGTTGGTGAATCTCATAAAACAGCAAATAAGCCTTCTTATATACAGAAACAAACAAGTCTCATATACATTAAATCTGCAGCATTCATCTTCCTGTGTGACAATGTTCATCTTGAGACTGGTGCTTCTTTTTTTGTTCAAGATAGTACATATATTTGTTGTATAACACGTTTCTGAGGACAGCCCATAATATTACACAAGAGTTGTAACACATATCTGTTTGTTTTTTTGCCTTTCAGATCCTATCTTAAAGGACAGAGGAAAACATCCCAGGTGAGTCCTGAATCTGAAGAGTATTGGATGGTCTCACGTTAAATACATTCAATAGTCTTGGTTCCTGCACATTTGAATTTGAACTTTCTAGATTTTAATCCTCATTTACATCAATTTGAAATCCGGTGAACGTGCTTGATATATTATTGTCATACCTTGTTCCACAGGTGCATCTCCAGAGCCATCTGTCACATCACCAAAGGAAACAAAGGACTGGGCTCTGCTGCAGTGTGAAGTTTATGGAGCTTTTCCAAAACCTAAAGTGGAGTGGAGGAACCGCTCTGGAAACATGGTCCCTGCTGCAGACCCTCAGGTCTCAGAGAGAGGAGGCAGCTACGACGTGACCCTCCAAACTACTGTCACCAAAACAGACCTCTATCACTGTGTGGTCACTCAGGAGGAGATCAACCATCAGATTAAAGCTGAGATCCATGTATACATCGGGGGTAAGATTCTTCCTCGTGCTTTTCTATTGAAATAATTGATTGTTTAGCTGTTTTGTGTTTTCAACAAATGGTTTGCTTGTGATCACACTGATCTCATAGCAATCAGCAGAAGTTAAAACCACTGACTGAATCAAAAACTTGATAAAACAGGCTTTTAAATAAAGAACAGGACAGACATATATGACTGTATCAACTAAACTGTAATATCTCACTTGGAGGAAGGTGAACACAATTCACACAGAACACGTTTCATTTAATTTTAAGATAAATAGTTTTAGAATAATACATTTAACATAAAAAGTTGTCCAAACATCTTCTCTGTTAATGTGCTTCTGTCATGAGTCAGAAATAATGTTTGCAGAGTATTACTAATGCTCTCATCTTTAACTGTGTATATTTACATAAGTCACATGTTAATATGTTAATGTGTCTCATTGTGTACTAGGTAGTATGTATGATTCCTATCTCCTGAGGACCTGCAGGATGGAGTCAGAACAAATGTCCTTACAGGGACAATAACGTTTATCGTATCATAGATCTGCGTTCAGGATTCACGGTAAACAGCTCTGTGCTGACTTTGTGTTTCTGTTGTCGAGCGCTGCATAAAAACGTCAAGTTATTTCAACGTTGACCTTTCTACGCACATCCAATCAGAACAGCTGTGCTAAGAGGCACAAGCTAGCAGAGGAGGAAACTCAGAAACTGAACTTAACTGTTTTCACCACAAAGCTCTGCGGACAACCTGCAATTAGAAAAGAGCAAATCATGTGAATGCAGATTAATAGTTACCAAACTTTAGGTAGACTTGCTTGAAATATCAGATAATCATGGGATGGGAAATTGAGACTTTTATTGTCAGGGCTTCCTGGGTTTTAATCTTAAACATGATCTAATAAACATTTTCAAGAAAAGAGATGAGCAAACAGCATCACAATATTTCATTTATAAAGTTGTATATCATCTATTGTTCATAGATGGCTGTCACTACCCGATCTGTCCCCCTGCCCGATCTGTACTGCGCATGTGCGAGATGGTCCGCCATATTGGACAACTACATACGGCAACTCTAATAGGACACTTGACACAGTGGCTTTTGGCAAAGCAGAAAAAGAACCGAGAGAGATTATTGTTATTACAACGTGACTTCACTATTATTTAACAACTCTTTTTATTGGGTTGTTTTATTTGGGGTTAAATACATTGTCAGAATAAGTGAGACATGGATTTAACTTCTGTTAGACAGCTATCATACTGAATAAATATTTAGTGTGAATGTATGCAAAAATGTATGGCATATAGCTGTCTAACAGAAGTTAAATCCATGTCTCACTTATTCTGACAATGTCTTTAACCCCAAATAAAACAACCCAATCATCATGCTGCTGCTAGTCCATTGATAGTCACCTGTTGGTCTCCTGTCCTTTCTGAAAGTCATAAAGTCTTATGTCCTCAAGTACCATGGGATTACTGAAACCACCATGAATTTAAAAAAATGGTAGAAATGAATCTAATCTAAATTTTGAAGCATTCCTTGCCATCCCCTCCCTCTAAATATATCAATAAACATTAGGAAGTGATGCTCCTGACTACCATACCTGTTTAAGAAGATAATATTTGTTTTAAATCATTCAAAGCAATACACAACAGCAACAGGCTCTTTAACCAAGGCAACGTTAGCCTAACATGTATATGTTAACAAGTAAACTAGCTGTTCACACTATTCCTAATATTACCCATAAATATGAGCAGATTCTATTTTATTTTTAAAACATATTGATGTAAATACATACACATATCGGTATGTTGTATAAATATTGCAAATCAAAACCTTTATTCACTACTTATTACCAAAGATCGTAGTTCTATCTCCGGTAATCATGCATTCAAATGTCCCGCCACGAACTTCCGGGGAACATTTTGGACTTCCGTTGTCATAACTCTCTGGCCCAATCCCAAACCGCCCCCTACACCCTACCCCTACACACTACCCCTCCGTTTGCGCGTTCGCGCGGAGGGTCCGCCACATTAAGTGCTGTTCTAAACCAACGAGTGTGGAGCGGGGTGGAGGGGGAGTGGGCTATCAAGCCCTCAAACAGCGAGTCTGCATCATGGATGTATAATAAGAACTGGATACAGCGTGGGAGGCGGGGCCTCATTCATTCCTGTGAGAGTTGCTCATTCGCGCATGATGATAAAATGGCCCAACTTTTGAGAGAGCGAAACGTCACAGATTACCCGGCATGCCTGAGAAGTACCCGTATGTGCGCTCATAGCGCATGCGCAACTTTAACCATGCCCCCCAAAATGCTCATTCACATCAAGCACGTCAATTTGCGTACACGTAACAGCATCGCACGTTCATGACAGCATGGTAATGGTTTGTTATTATGATAGATTTGATATTAACGAGGCGGCAGTTAGCAGCTAGCGGTTAGCTAGTAATTATGCTAATTTACACATCAATCGTTATGTACTTTTATATTACGCTGTAACAGGATCTAGTGATATCCAAGCAACAGAGCTTCATTTAGCATGAAAGAATTATTGCACTGTATATATATATATATATCTGTATATATATATATACAGTGCAATATACTTCTTAGTGCAATAAGAAGCTACAGGGACGTTAATCTACGTCGGTAATCAGGTACAGCAAATGTGTTGTCCCTGTGTCCACCTAATATCAATTCAAACACCATGACACAATTCCATCAGATTAATGATAAAAACTTAGAGGACATTATTCAACTTCTGAAATCCTCCTCCTGCTGCCTTGATATTATTCCAACAGGATTTTTCAAAGATGTTTTTCCTTGCATGGCCTCAGATCTACTTCATATAGTAAACACATCTCTTCACTCAGGTATTTTTCCACAGGCACTGAAAACTGCAGTCATTAAACCGCTCTTAAAAAAGAATAATCTAGATGCTTCAGTAATGAACAATTACAGGCCAATATCAAACCTGCCATTTCTAGGTAAAATCATTGAAAAAGTTGTATTTCAACAGTTGAGTAACTTCTTGCATTTAAATAACTGTTTGGATGTGTTCCAGTCAGGCTTTCGTCCAAACCACAGCACTGAGACTGCTCTTGTAAAGGTCTTCAATGACATCCACTAAAACACAGACAGTGGCAGAACTTCAGTGTTAGTATTATTAGATCTCAGTGCTGCGTTTGACACTGTTGACCACAACATATTACTAGACCGACTAGAAAACTGGGTGGGACTTTCGGCAACAGTTCTAAATTGGTTTGAGTCCTACTTAAAGGACAGAAAAAACTTTGTTTCTATAGGTAAATACACATCTGAGTTGACAAATATGACATGTGGGGTACCTCAAGGCTCCATCTTGGGGCCTCTTCTCTTTAACATCTACATGCTACCACTGGCTCAGATAATGAAAAACAACAAAATAAGTTACCATAGCTATGCGGATGACACACAAATTTACGTAACAATTTCACCAGGAGACTATGCTCCAATTCAAACACTGAGTAAGTGCATTGAACAAATCAATGACTGGATGTGTCAGAACTTTCTCCAATTAAACAAAGATAAAACTGAGGTAATGGTTTTTGGAGCCAAGGCAGAACGTATAAAAGTTAGCGCTGAGCTTCAGTCTGCACTGTTCAAAACTACAGATAAAGCCAGAAATCTAGGTGTAGTCATGGACTCTGACCTGAGTTTCAACAGTCACATTAAAACAGTTACTAAATCAGCCTACTATCACCGAAAGAACATATCTAGGATTAAAAGACTAATGTCACAGCAGGATTTGGAAAAACTTGTCCATGCTTTTATCTTCAGTAGACTGGACTACTGTAATGGTGTCTTTACAGGCCTCACTAAAAAATCTATTAGAAAGCTGCAGCTGATTCAGAACGCCGCTGCTCGAGTCCTCACTGACACTAAGAAAGTGGATCACATCACTCCTGTTCTGAAGTCCTTACACTGGCTTCCTGTGTGTCAAAGAATAGATTTCAAAATATTGTTGCTGGTTTATAAAGCTTTGAATGGTTTAGGCCCAAAATACATGTCTGACCTACTGCTAAATTATGAACCATCCAGAACTCTCAGGTCTTCAGGGACTGGTCAGCTTTCTGTCCCCAGAGTCAGAACTAAACATGGTAAAGCAGCGTTCAGTTATTATGCTCCAAATATCTGGAACAAACTCCCAGAAACCTGCAGGTCCGCTGCAACTCTGACTACTTTTAAATCCAGGCTGAAGACTTTTCTTTTTGCCGCTGCTTTTAATTGAACTATTCACATCTTAAACTGCACTGTAACTTTTATCCATGTATTTTTTCTTTTAATGTTTATTTTATTATCTTTTATTTTTAATGACTGATTTTAAATGCCATTTTCTTAATGTCTTCCATTTTTGTAAAGCACTTTGAATTGCCTTGTGTTGAAAGGTGCTATATAAATAAACTTGCCTTGCCTTGCCTTGCCTTACAACCCTAATTATATTTAAAAACATTTAAGAAGGCCTCACGAAATACTTTAATGTAAATTAAAATGTAAATGTG